GTGCCATGGTGGATTATTTTGGAAGTAAGCGGTCCATAGGGCCTGCTGGTCTTGCCCAGTTTTAGCTGCAGTGTCCAGGGGGAGAGATGTCCCCACGCAGAGGCAGCGCGGACATTGATGGATGGCCTAGCTTTCTGTCGGTTTCTGGTCCCAGACGTGAGGCGTTGTTATGAAAATATAGAAGGAAGCAGGCTGACGGGCCGCAGAGAGATGGCAGCTCGGCCTATGATGGATGATCACCTGCTGGGCATCTGCTATAGATACAGATAAACTAGAATTGTGGCCTCTAAGGAACCACTTTCAATGTTCGCCAGAAATTGGCCCAAAGAAGACACTCCTAAACGTTTGTGTATCTCGGTTGGATGATAAACTTTATATGACTGAGGAGGATAAACCAGAAACCACCAGACAGATGTACCCAACATTACTGCAAAGCCACACTGGAATTATTTGTTTTAACTGGAATTTTACTTTAATTTCCCTCATGGTTTTCCCTTGGCTATCCTGCAGACAGGGAAGAAAGCCACAGAGTTGTCATTTTACTTAGCTTCTTCGGCCTGTAAATCAACTCCCTCAAAAGGGGCTGAGTCATGTTAGGACCCCCCCCCCCCCCCATAAAGAGGTAGTGTTAATGGTGGCATTCACAGAGGTGATTTGTAGCCTGCCTCTTTATCTCAGCGCTGGTGGCCTCGAGGCGGCTGATTGATGGTGTTTGTCGTCCAATCTTGGACCCTAACTGAGAGTGGTTTCTGTTGCTTCGGCTGCAGCGGGCCGGGACCTCACTTGTGGCATATTCAGTGTTTCTCCAGACCTCCCATTGAGACGTGACCAAGAAGGACCTTGAACTCCCTGCCTTACGTCTCATTGCCTGAAGGACAAACTCTTTGCCCACCAGTGTGACCCAGTTATAGGAGAAGGGAGAGAGGGAGTCGAAAAGAGAAAGGGAGAGGGACAGATCTGTGTTTGTGTGTGTGTAAGGCAGTGGCAGGGCATAGCCTACTTCTCGTACCCTACTTTACCCCTCTCTTCATCTGGGAGCCGAGCAGCTGAGCTCCGACTTCACCATCTTGTCCTGTTGTTTCCTTTATTTTAATTCATTTTGGCCAGATGGTGGATTACAGGTCAAGGCAAAAGCTACCACTGTCGTAAGAGAATACTCTTCTGGAAGACTCTATTTGTTACACTTCAGTGTCATATCAAAGAGTTTACAGATTCAAGGTTTAATCAGGGCACAAAGTCATTAAGGAATACGTGTAAAACAAATGTATCCATTTGATGTCTAAACTTACTATTCCATGGGGCTACACCAATCAATATTTACATCTTATATTTTTTACATTAAGAAAGGATCAAATCCAAGTCCAGTGTGTAACATTTAGGATGATTTATTGGCAGAAATGGAATATATATATATATATATATATATATATATATATATATTATAGGTTATAATCGCCTGAAAATAAGAAATTTTTGTTGCTTTAGAATGAGCCATTTTTATTTACAGAAGCCACTGGTCGCGTTTCGTGGCAGCCGTTATGTTCAACCGCCATGTTTCTACTCTAGCCCAGAATGGACAAACTAAACAGATAAGGGCATTTGCATTTCTCGCAGGTTTCAGGGCCACCGTAGTTTCTCCATTCGCTTGGAAAGGAAGGGAGTGAGTTACAATCTGCAAATACACCACTAGATGTCACTAAATCCTACACCCTGGACCTTTAAGGACCTTTTGGCCCCCAGTAGTTGTTAGACATGCTAAACTGTGGGATCCGTAATATTAAAATGCACTTGCCGTTACCACCAGTAACCACAAGCGTAAGCAAATTGACCAGGACTTCTTTCATATTTTCTTTTATCAGACAGTTTGGATTGGAGATGCACTCCTTTTTACCTCTGATATATTTGATAGGTTTACCTCCTTTCATTCAGACTGACAGCTTCTTTAATTAACAATTTGCACAGTAATTAACTGTAATTCTTTTTTGAGCTTTGGGCGTGTGTCTGTCAGTTTCTTAAACATCAGATTGACAGATGAGAAGCAGAACTGCAATGTTTGATTAAGATTCATAAAAGTGTCTCATTATAAAATTTGCATACCCTGAATCCCTACACCTTCCAGATTTTTCCTTCTTTAGTTTTTGTCTTTGATTCAATTAGATGAAGACTCAGTTTTAAAGCGAGATGATATCCTCTTTCTTGTTACTCTCCATTGCTTTCTGCTTGAAATAGGCAGGGAAAGTAGAAAGGTCTTTAACTGACAGCTCGCCTTTCCCCGGCTTTCTGTTTCTTTCTCCTTTCTCCTCTTTTTACTGCCTGACAAAGGCAGTAGAGGACTTTGCAGAGTGTAGTTTCTTTGGTCAAAGGAAATGGTAGAGGAGGAGTGGGGCAAGGAGAGAGGAGGTGTATCTGTCAGAGAGAGGCTGGCTGGGCTGTGCTAAGGAGGAGGAGGAGGAGGTGGGAGGAAGGGGAGGGGACTGTGCTCTCATTCACATTGGCGGCATTTGGCTTGAGAATGAGCTGTTTCTTTTCTTTTTCTTTTTTTTTTTGAGAGGGTTAGAGAAGTTTTCCTCAGGAGGGCTGGTGAGAAACGGAGCCAAACATCCAAGAGAACGGGAACATTAGTGAATATTTGAGCCGACTAAACCTGAGACGCTGAAGGAGCTGAGGCCGGGTGATAAGAAGGAGCTGGTCAGATACCAGAGCAGATATGCAGGGGACAAACTGGGGTAAGAAACTCGGAGGGAAGGAACGTTGGAGAAAAGGGAAGTTGACTTTATTACTTTCGCAATCAAGGTGACAGTTATGGGTGATGCTAGCTGACTTATACAGTCACTTGAAATAACTTTTTGCTTTATAAAGATATGTTAGTTCACGTGTGCAGGTTTAGGGCATGTTAATGTGAAAAATCCAGAGAGTCCAAAGCTGAGAAAGGAAATGGAAATGATTAAAACTGCAATTATTTATTTAGGAACCGATAATCACACAATTGTGACACTTTGCTGATTTCTTTGTCATATACGACAGTAAATTGAAACAAGTGTTGGATTGTCAACCAAAATAAGCTAATTGAAAACATTGCTGAAGCCTCTGAGAAGTTGTGAATGGCATTTTTAAAATGATTCATTTATCAATCAAATTAACCCTTAATTGCAGCCCTAGACATAATAAAGTATAAAATTGACGAGCTGCATTCGACTGCCATTGATCTCTCTTCTGTTACTGTTGAGGACATTAATCCAGAAGAGTGTGTGTGTGTGTGTGTGTGTGTGTGTGTGTGTGTGTGTGTGTGTGTGTGTGTGTGTGTGTGTGTGTGTGTGTGTGTGTGTGTGTATGTGAGTGGGAGGGGGAGTGAAAGGAAGCCTCTGCTTTCTGTCAGTGTAGTATAATCATTGACAGTGTCTAGTGCATCAAACAAACCTGTAGGCCCTAATGAGAAAGACCTATTTTCTTTGTATGTGGGCTGCCACTTCTATTACCACAGTACAAAGGGGCTGCTTAGTCTATAGTCCTTAGTACATTTAAAATCAAAAAGTCAATGTTTTTTAAGTTACTTGACCTTTTATTTACCAGGAAAGTCACAGAGATCCTGTCCAAGAATGGCAGCAATAACATTTACTTACAGACAACATTAACACAGATAATACAAACTGGATTTATACCCTGTAATCAGTTAGTTGATAGGTATGACAAGCAATACTTGTTTAAGGCATTTATCAAGCAAAAATACCAAACATTCTGAGTTTCAAGCTACTCGGATGTGAGGATTGTAAATGGAATATCTCTAGAATAACCAGTGTATTGACAGTGAAACTGATCATCAGTTGCAGCCCTGGTTGGGAACAGAAACATGTGGCACGGTGACCGGTAGTGTCTGTCAGGGTTGCGAGGTGTCTGCCTGAGGAAAGGTAGGTTGTCTACAAAACTAAAATAGCTTTGTCACACTTTCCCTCGATGTTCCAGTTTCCAGAGAGAGAGAAGGGGGAGAATAAGGAGATGGGAGGGGGTCCAGAACAGAAAGAGAGGGAGTGGGATTCAGAAGTTTGGGCAGAGTAAGATGGAGAGTGGAGGAGGGGATCTCCAGACTCATTTGTTTGTCCCCTCATGCAGACACTCCCTGCTGAAAACTGAGACACCCTTTCTTCTTGCTTTCATTCTGTCTCTTTACTTCTTTCTCACCACATCCTCCGTGAATCAGAGGTTGGTGCTGCTCTCAGTGGCAAAGCCTCAGATGAGTGCAAGTATAACAGAGTTTCTTTTTTCCCCCCCCAGTACCAACACTTCACCTGGTGTGGGGGAATATTTTTAGGCTCCCTCACCTCTGTGGCTGTGGATGTGTGTTTATGGCGTGGCGCTAACAAAGAAGGATTTAGTGCAGGCCCTTTCAGTGTGTCTCAAAGCAGGTTTGTGTGACGTTGCAGTCTTGCAGGGCAGGGCCAGTAAATTGTGTATACTGTATCTTTGTAATATGGCCTCTATAAAAAGGCTTTTATACTGTTTGTTTCTCTGATTGCCAATCTCAGATGCAGTCAGACAAAAAGGTTGCCCTGCATGCCAATGAATGTCATTGAAATGTATCTAGACTTAGTGCTGGATGTGTAATGAAATACACTGCTGTGACCTAGCTGTCAGTCTGTGAACTCAGTTCTTTGAGCGGGGTGTTTGCAAGAAGACTGCAGACTCTGTTTCACATTTCATATTCAGTGAGGTCTTGCAGACTGAAATCTCAGCAAGAATTTTTAAATGTATTGATCTCAGCATATGGATTTCTCATCTCTGTTTTTTTATTTCACTACAGAAATAAGATGTCTAAAATAAGCTTTGATTCTATTAAATCCCTCATCCAAACCTTTATCCCTCCCTCCCTTTTGTTAGCAATGTATAAAACATTCTGGTCGTTTTTTTGGCTTAAAGGTCCAGTGTGTCACATTTAGGAGGATCTATTGGCAGAAATGGAATATAATATCCAGAGGTATGTTTTCATTAATGTACATTCACCTAAATATAAGAATCGTTGTTTATTTGTTACCTTAGAATGAGCTGTTTTATCTACAGACAGCGCAGGTCACCTTTCATGGAGTCCGCCGTGTTAAACTGCAATGTTTCTATCAATTAAAACAATGACCTGAAGTGTATACCTTGTAATGTGTTGGCTTTTAGCTTGTAAGATACACTTTAATGGAGAACAATCAAAAAATGCAGCAATTGCAGATTCTCACTATGCAGCTTTTTTTGATTTTTGATCCGTAAGAGTATTTCTATAAAACCGCCAGTGCTGAGAGCTTGGGGATAAAATCTTCAAGCCTCGAGGTGACAGCACCTCCCCAGAGCTGCTACTATTGGCTGCTGTAAAGCTAAAATGCTCGACACAGGAGAAACACCACTTTAAATCTTCTCTCCCAAGCTGTGGCATGTGAATGATGAGACATCAGAAAAACAGTGGCCGTAGAGTCACACACTGACCAGCACTAATTCTGTCCATGTTCAGTCTTAACTCTCATTAGCTGGTATGCCCGCACATTCCTCCTGCTGGAGGAGTGACTGACTGACTGAGTCCGTCTGTCTGCTGCCTGACTGAGACATTAAAACCTTCAAGGGCTTTCCCAGACAAAAACAGTCTGCTCAGTCAGAGTCAGCTGACACTGTAGACATTATGGGGGTGGTTAAAATGTAATTGTTGTTTTCGCTGCGTATATGAGATGAAAATATGTGTTTTTTTTGCAGTATTTTAGTGCTGAAATGATTAGTTCGGATCTGATTCAACGTTACTGGATCGAGGCAGCGGTGGACCAGCAAGTCCTGTGTGCTGCGGGGTAAATTTGCTGTTTTTGTCCAAGGAGTCTGGTTACTTTAGAAAGAGTTATAGTATAAACGCTATACTATATCCCGTCGGAAAGGGCTGTCTGGCGGCAAGGTTAAACCGTGAAAATATTATCAATATAACAAACACTTTTTGATGTTTTGCTGCTTTCCCCGTCCACAGCAGTGCATCGCTTAGCTTCCATGCTGGTACTCCTGTCTGCTTCTCCAAACTACTGTTGGCAAAATACCTCATACAACCCTAACGTTATTATGAAGCTGCACACAACTAGAAACAGAAAGAAATATTGTTTACAGCCTCTCAGATGTGAGGATTTGTTGCTTTTCTTCATAATTTCTGATATTAAATGAAATATGTTCGGATTATACATTGTTTGTCAGCCAAAACAAGTAAGTTTATTTAAGGTCTGGGAAAGTGCGAATTGGCATTTTTCACTGTTTTCTGACTTTTTTTATTGACCAAACATTTTAGCAAATAAATGTAAAATCTACTGCAGTGATTAATTGATTATGTTAGTAATAGTTAGTTGCAGCTATACTACAGCACATGTACACACCATATTATAGGAACATTATCTCCATTCACCCCCCCTGCATAGTTGTCATGGATACATCCACTAGTCATTAGTGGTTAATGTCCATTTATCTTCTATAAGGGCCAACTGGGAGCGTATGGAAGATTGTCAAAGCTATAGAACGACTGAAGGCTTTAAGATGCTAAGGAGGGGTCCTGGCCTCCCTGTCAGCCCTCTGACCCCCTCCACTCTTCTCCCATCCTCCCCCTTCTAATGTTTGAGGCCCCGGTCACTATGGCAACAAAAGAGAAACCAGGACCGCATGATCATGACGGGGGCTTTAAAAATAGTTTGAGACCCCTTTGCTTTCCTCACTAGAGTCTCTGCATAGTTTCAGTCATCTTGAGTCCAGAGGGATTAGAGCTTTTTCACTTATCTGGAGAGTTGGAGGGCAACAAAATGGGCCCCCACTCCCCCCCGATCAGAAACACTGATCTGTGGAAAGGAACGACAAGTAGAAGCATTTAGACACTCTTTAGAAGGTGCAATTTACATAAACTAGCACATCTTGGTTAGCTTTTACTTGAACCATAAGTTCTTTAAGAAGTTTGTCCGTGTAGAAAACAAATGTTAACCAAGGGTCTAACAGTTTGCTGTTAAGATCACTGTAATACATTTAAAATCATAATATTCATCTCTTTTGCACAAAAAATATAAATCAGTTGAATGATTTATGAAATGCAGATTTTAAGTTGAGATCAGATTATAAAAACAAATTTTCCCCTTGTGGTACAGCTGTATTAAAAAAAAAAAAACACAGTAAAAATCTGGCCACTATTTTTGATTGTCATTCATGCTAATCGCGTGGATGGATAAATGAAATAAATACAGCATGTGTGCAAATAGGAATTAACTGAGAGGATAAAGCGCGCAGCAAAATAAAGATAACTCTTAAATTTGAAATTGCTGCAAATGTATCAGTGAAAAGTGTCAATTAACAGTCAATTAAGATCCATTTTAAAATACATCAGTGATACATCTCCCTCGCTCTCTCTCGAAAACACTCATCACTGAAACCCGCTTGTAGAGTTTGGTTGGAGATAATCCTCCATGATTCATCTTTGTAAATAAATGTAATTTCGAGTACAAGGAGTTTTTCTGACAGCTGCAGTTCGTCCAAACTCTGGATGTTGGAGCAGTGGCAGTATTTAGTCTGATTCCCTGCTATTCAGAAAGGATTATATGTAATAAATATCGTCATGGACTAATTAGCTTTTCTCAGTGCATAGAGAAATCACACAAGATTAATCCTACAGGCTCTGCTCATTAGGACTGTTAATTCTGCTTCCCAAACACCACATGTTGCTCCTGCTGCCGTTAACTCAGCTTTCCTTCATACTGACACTGATGCAGTAATTGAAGTATGCAGTATGAATCTTTAACGACGCTCATTTTAAACTCAATTTCAAACTGCATTTACCGAATGACCAGGGAGAATCGATGGATGGAGCATTTCTATCTGTCTGCCTGTCCCACGAGGAAGTGAGCAAATGGATTTTAGATAAGTATCTTCTGCAGTAAGTTTGTTGACTTTCTAACAATAGTTTGTTAAAGCAGCACAACCTCTACAACAGAGACAATGTGTTATGTTTTAACCACAAAGTAAAAGGTATTGACAGATGTTTGTGCAGTACAGATTGTAGTAATTTCTCTGTAGTTTCACAGTTTTTACATATCATTACAACATATTGTAGTACCAGATTTGTCTTAGTCAGTTATTATGAGTCTAAGTAGGGATCAGCCCAACTTTGAGTGTGCTAATTAACACGCTGTAATCACAGTTAAATCGCAGTAGTAGCCTTATAAACTTGGCAGGTTGGAAAATGACTTGGCATTGCCCTGTCCTGGCAGGTGGAGTCCAGAAATGTGTCTGGCCAGCATGCCTGCTGTCAGCCCTTCTTTCGTCTTATTAGCCATCTTCACCACTAATTAACAAACATGGGCAGCCCCCAGGGTTTTCTATCGTCAACAGGAAGGTTAGGAGGGTTACAGAGTAGGTGAAACACGAGGGAAAGTCCTAGCAGGTACTCGCCAACAAAACTGCGAATTGTTGCGAGTGACGTAGCGAGAACTGCAGTCTTGCCATGCTTTAAATGCTTCTGTGATTCCTAGACAAGCCTGAAACTCAAGAAGAGGACACACCCGTCAGTCGGATATCCTCATATTCTCTGACTCACTGTGATGTTTTTAGAGCACAACTGGCTCGGCTGTCAGCGCACCATGACCTCATCATCATGCGTCCTGTTGGCCATTGTTCTCCAAACAACACTCAACTGTCCACCATCCATTGTTGACATCATAGTTTGTATGTGCCTGCAATAGTGTCAATATTTACCACTGGTCCTGTGAGAGCGAGGGAGCGAAAAAGTAAGTGTGTGACGTCTTGTGCCTCCTACGTTGGGGTATTATTTCTCACAGCTGTATTATTTGTGTGTACTGTTAGATTTACAACACCCATGGCCACAGTATCAAAGCAAGTTCAACCTGTCTCCTCTTCTCTGTGTTTCTCCGTTAAGGTATTATTCACAGTTATGAACTTTTAGTTATTCCTAAGGCTGATAAGATGTGTGTAGACAGTAGCCTTTGTTGCTGTCAGGGGAAATGCCAGCATGTTAGAAGCCATTTTACATCTCAAATGAAAAGAGACCCTTTTCTTCTGCTGCCTCATGCCTCGCAAGCCTCATGCCTCAGGCCCCGTTTGTGCTGCTTGAGTGGGCTTCATGAATGGCCTGTCCTGGTTCTCTGTGTGTGGGCCACCATGGTCTTGTGGGACATTTGTATGCTTTAGTCTACTGTATATCCTCTCTGTTTTTCGTGATTGCTGTGTTTCTGACAGGGGGAAATTCCTTGAAAGCACCCTGATGTGGAGACTGAACAGCTAGAATTTGACCTTATTAGTGTCTGGGAGAAAAATACCATTTCTACTAGTATTTAGTTTCCATGATGACATCAGTAAATACGACAGCAACAGGTGTCACTGTCAGCTATGTAAAAAAACCCAACTAACAGGAAAATGTTAGAGACCTGATGGTTTGAAAATGAATGATTTACTTGTGAAGACTTGACCTGTCCTTAAGGACTTGAGACTTTACTTGAGACTTGTCTCAAATGACTTGAGACTTGACTTTAAAAATGATGAATGTTGTGAGACCTTACTTGAGATTTCAGACTTTAATTGGACTTGGCTTTCAGGTGACTTGAGATTTGAACTGGACTTTTCCTTAAGGAGACTTTACTTGGACTATTATGAAATGGCTTTGAGACGTGCTATTACAGAATCTGAGTAGGGCTTGTCTCAAAGGATTTGAGACTTGGACTTATCTTGAATCATGTGAGACTTAACTTGGATTTGTTTTGAATGACTTGACTTGGATGTCCTATTACAAAACTTGAGAGTTGACCGGGACGTTGGGGGACTTTTCTTATTTACTTATTTAACTACTTAACTCACCTCGTTTTTCTCTTCAGTAGTTACTCGTTCACAATCTTGACTTGGGCTTGTTCTTAAGGACTTGGGACTTGCTAGTACAGGACTATACTTGGACTCACGCTGTTGTTTTTGTCTCTCAGAGCGAGTGACCCCTCTGAGCTGCCACCATGGCCCTGGTTCAGGCTCTGCCCATATCTGCTGAGCCCCGCAACCCAGGCCTCAGTGGAGGAGCCCGCAGGAGATACCCCTCCGGCTCTTCACCCCCAAACAACGCGCCACCTTCCGCTCTGGATCCTATGGGTTCTGTCAGCAGCCTCATCGCAACCCGCCCCGGCCCCTACCAGGACCACCGTTCTGGTGTCGAGCTGGGAGCCAGGGTCCGACGGCCCACGCCAGGCGCCCCTTGCCTGGGCTCTGAGTCCCCCCAGGACCCTTTGCTGCAGAGCAACCCGCCACTCAAGAAACAGAGCTCCACATCGTCCAACAGGGGGCTGGAGAAGGAGAGTGGGAACGGGAACTATACCTATCTGAATGAGGACTACGTAGGTGACTGGAATGACAACCATGTAACACCTGCCAGCCCAGGAAGTGACGTAGACGAGATAAAAGAAGGGTTAGGATTGAATGGGAATATGGGGGGACCTCCTCCAAAACTGATCCCTGTGTCAGGAAAACTTGAGAGGGTGAGTCTGAATAAATTAATTTGATAAAATCTTATAGTAAACGAGAATGTAACTGTAACTACCGCCTCCAAAATGACCTTTAAGTTAATTCAAATATAGTTTAATTGAAAACTGAACATTATAACCTTAATGAATGAAGAATTTATTGCAGGATGAAGTAAATAAAGGTTTATCTTATTTTAAAGGAGCTTAAAGTGATCAAACTTTTCTGGCATGGGAATTCAGTTGTAAATTCTTGCTTGCTTCTCAACACTCATCCCATTTTGTACTCCTTCTCTAGAACATGGAGAAAACAGTGTTGCGGCCCACTGCCTTCAAACCCGTCATTCCCAAGAGCCGTACCTCCATGCAATACCTCTCCCCTCGCCACTGTGCCAACGTACCAGAAAGCCAAAACAACTTGAATCTGCTCAGCCCCACTCACAGAGAGGTGTCGCCCTCCTGCACTGAGAAATGCAACTTGTACAGTAGGGCCCGTAACAGCGGTGGTGGCAGTGGCCACTCCTGTCAGCTGTCCGACTCTGGACGCAACTCCCTCGCCAGCCTCCCACCTTACAGCAACGCCGGCTACAGTCAGGCGTCAGGAGAGGCGTCCGCCGGCCACCTGGAGCCCATGAAGAGCGCCCCGCCTGTCAGTGGACACGGACACTCCAACTCAGACAGCGGGCGCTCATCTTCCAGCAAGAGTACCGGCTCCGGATCGATAAGTGGCCGTGGACAGCCTCTGTCTGATAGCGGGTCGAGCGGGCGCTCCCCAGGCCCTGTGGAGGGTTATGAGGGGGTGGTGAGGGATCTGGAGGACAAGCTGAGGGAGAGAGAGCTGGAGCTGCAGCAACTCAGAGACAACCTGGATGAGAATGAAGCTGCAATTTGTCAGGTTGGTAGATAATGTAGTACAGACTTAACTTCACTTGACACCTTGAGACAACAAGAGTTTTCAAAGAGAAACACACACTCTGTCACACTGGAGTTTGTAGTTAAAAAAAAAAAAACGGTTTTGGCTTAATGTTTCTGTAGCTTCAAAATCAATGCTGTCTCACTTTCACATGAATTTTTAAATCCAGTGCTGTTGGAGAATTTGACACAACTCCAAACTCGTCAATCGGTGGTTGTAAATCTTAAATCCCTTTTTGTTGTTCTGTGTTTTGTTGCAGGTTTACGAGGAGAAGCACAAGCGCTTCGAACTGGAGCTGGAGGAGCTGAGACAGGGCTGTGCCACCAGGATGCAGGTAGCCTCACAGAAGGCCCAGCGTGCACAGCAGGTGCTTCAGTTGCAGGTCAGAACCTCTGACAGAAAGCACCAGTGATTGCTGTCATATTTCTACAAACACAGTCAAAAATTACCAGAACATACTTGCCATAGCCACAGAAGTCTTTTTTAAAAATCTGCGTCATCTAAGTAGTATACTACAGACACTGACTTTGGCACAGAAGGTTTGAAGTTCATCAAGTATTAGAAAACATGCTTCTAATAGTCCTTTATTAGAATCTTATATGCTGCAAGAAGTTCATTAATTCTTTAATCCACAAACCAGATATAGGAGGCTTTATCTTCTCATTTTTAAGTAGTACAAGTCTTCTAGCAACCTCCTTAAAAATATATGTTTCCAGACATCATTTAGCTTTAAACTATACGTGAGAGTTGGTGTCATTTGGGTACATCGATCACATGTTGAATCAATAGCTACATTTTAAGTCCTGGTCTTACTAGGAATAGCTAAGTTCAGCTTGGCTGACACTGGCTGTGTCATGGTCTGCAGGTGTACCAGCTCCAGCAGGAGAAGAAGAAGCTGCAGGAGGACTTTGCTCAGCTCCTGAAGGAGAGGGAGCAGCTAGAGGAGCGCTGCACCTCCTACGAACACGAGAAGATCCAGCTGGGGCCGCGGCTGGAAGAGAGCAAGTGGGAGGTGAGCGCCACAACAGCAGGCTTTTTTTTTTAACTAACATTTTATTCAGCAAGTACAGTAATGACCACAATAAAAAGAAAAGGTTCGGGTTGTAAAGTTTATCACACTGCCATCCTTATCGATTTTACCATTTCCCATCCATCCTTAAACTCCTATAACTCATATTGCTTTAAGCACTGCACATATTATACCATGACTTTTATTTTAGAGCATCAATCTGACTTTGACAGCTCCTCCATAACATATTCAAGAATACATTAATTTCCCTAATTAAAAGAAATCGAAATTGAACATGAGGATTATTGTGCAGTGTGTGTCTCATTCATTCACTGAATACAGGAGGTGGAAGTATCAAAATGTAGCTGTAAAGGATGGTGATCTTTTGGAGTCCTCATCACAGTCTGACAGGCAGCATAATTAGTGGTTTGTTCATGTGATAGCACGGATGCAGGAAGATGAACTTTAAATGAGATGTTATCATGAGTCATGCAGACCAATGGAACAGGCCGCCTCGCTGTCTTTATGAGCTCCAGACACAGATCAATAATAAAATTGATCTTCCCTGCTATTCGAGGTAATTCATTTTGCCACAAGGAATCATTTTAAGAAGGTCTTAGTGCATTTGATCCCTGAGACTGATTAACTGAGCATTTTTGTCTTTTTCATACAGAGAGGATATATAAATTTCACTTAAAGGCTCTTTTAATTATCATTCATTCGGCTGTTACAGAACAATTTGCAGACTTATCCATCACTGAACAATGAATCTGATGAATGAGATTTTGAGGTTTTGTAGACCAGTTTTGTACACACATCAATCAGGATGCAAGACATGTGCAGCCTGACTTTAATTAGAGCCTAAACACCAAAATACTTTTCCATCCTTATTGGAGATCAAATGATCTATTGAAATTCAGTGTGACAAGGTGCTTTTAACCAGACAAAGATCCAACAAAGACAGGAATGTTGTCATTCGTTGCTCAATAAAGTTGTTAATTGAGTTTTGGACTACTTAAACCTTCAGAAGAGATTTTCCAATAAGACCTATATTAGATTGTTATATCTTTAGATCTGAAACGATTAGCTGATTAATCAATCAACCAAGAAATTAAAACAACAAACTATTTTGTTACCAATTTGTTAAGCCACTAGTTTGAGTCAGTTAAATGATAATATTTTCTGGTTGTCTTAGTCTTCCATCTTAGTAAGTTGAATATCTAAGTTGACAGCCAGTCAGCTGGAATATGTAAACTCTGGGCAAGTGATTAACATTTTACAGATCAAATAATTCATAGATTGCTTAAGACAATAATTGGCAGATTGGAGGATAATGAAAATAAAAGTTGCTTAAGACAATAATTGGCAGATTGGAGGATAATGAAAATAAAAGTTGCAACTTTAGTTTGGTTCTCTTTATTATTAATGAACATTTGCACCAAAATATATTTTCTTTACTGAACTGAATAGAATACATCCTGAGTGTTTCTCTTCTTCCCTCAGGTCTGCCAGAAGTCGGGGGAAATCTCGTTGCTGAAGCAGCAGCTGAAGGAGGTGCAGGGAGAGTTAGCCCAGCGAGTAGGAGAGATCGTTTCACTGCGGGGTCAACTCAGAGAGACTCGTGGCGAGCTGACAAACACCCAGGTCTTGCTCCAGGAGGCTCACGGCACAACACGCACACGAACCCTGGAGCTGGAGGTGTGTGAGAATGAGCTCCAGCGTCGCAAGAGCGAAGCTGAGCTGCTCAGAGAAAAGGTTGGACGCCTTGAGGCAGAGCTGACTCATCTTAGAGAGGCTTTGGCCAATCAGGGTCCAGGAAACAGACAGTGTCAGGTGTTCCAGGAAGCAGAGGAGCACCTGCTCGCCTATGAGAGCGATGAGGCGAAGGCCCAGCGGCAGAGCAGCACCGAGGCCCTGCAGAACATGAAGGCGCAGATGGACAGGATGAGGGCCGAGCTGACCTTTGAGCGTCAGCGGGGCGAGCAGCAAACGGGAAGCTTCGAGGAGGAGCGCAGGATATGGCAGGAGGAGAAGGACAAAGTTATCCGCTACCAGAAACAGCTGCAGGAGAACTACGTGCAGATGTACCGCAGGAATCGAGAGCTGGAGCAGCTCCTGCAGGAGCTCAGTCAGGAACTGGAGAGCAGGGAGGAGGACGAGGGCAGCGGCAATGAGATCAACTTCGATGAGATCGCTGCCACGGAAATTTGACACTTGCGTCTCTCCATCTTTTGATTTGCACTACTGTCAGCTAAAGGTTTTTTTTCCACCTACATGTCACAGATTTGATCTCTTGTGCCGTCTAGATGGAAACATATTCTGTTTAAGATTGCAATCAGATTGGTATAACAAATTAAAAAAAAAAAAAAAAAAAAAAGCCATCTGCAGTGTAAAATCAGCCACACTTTAGTTCTGCCTCATTGGTCTATTCTCCAAGGAGTCCCACTTGAAAGCCAGTGACCTCTATTAGTGTTTAGTAGGCCACCTCAGTCCTCAGCCCCTCCATTAATGTCTGTGTTAGTGTTTGCACTAACTAACTAGACATCCCCGGCCCTCTTCACCAGTTTTAGGCATTTGTGGGAGACTTTGTCGTGTATGAGTAACTTCTCCCAACCTTTAACTATCCTCTCGTGTTGGTGGTGACTCTACCTTCCCTGCTGGGTTTAGCACTACACACCCACTCTGTGTTAGCAGTCAGCTCTCATTAGTACAGTTAATTTTGATGGAGCCCACGCTGTTGTCAGTTGACAGTAAACGTGGGATACCACACATTCAGCATGTCATGATAAGAGTGAGTGAATCAGAGCGAGGTGCTAGTGACGGTGGCTGCACTCTGGGTGATGTAAAGAGAATTATGTTGTCTTTTTTTTTCTCAAAACCACTCAAGCCTTTATGTAAATTACATCATGACCAACAAGTAAACAGTAGATGTTTCCAGAATATGTCTACTTAAAAACAACATGAATCTAATGTTCCAACTATATATGGCACAAATTAGTTGATTTTTCTAACTGTAAGCAGACAGAATTGGTTCCTGGTCCAGTATGAGGGTAAGCTTCTCATATCCTGAACACCTTACTCTCAATGGTGGAAATAATATCATGAACATCTGTACAGTCTTATGTAATTAAACACAGTAACATCTGGAACAAAACACCTTACATCCAGTGCACTTCAGCTTTTCTCTGCACACTCAGTGGGTCTGAAACACCTTTTAAAAGAAGCTCTATCGTCTGATGTCAGAAGAATGGATTAAATCACTTTTCCTGTAGTGTAGGAGATAATGGATCAAATCTTCTACCACGGTGTACGTGAAGTAATTATATACTCAAATATCGATATACTATATATCATGACATTGTAAATCAGGAAAATCAATGGGCCTTTTTCACAGCAGACATGTTGGCATGTCATATCAGAAAACCATTACACGGGTGTAATTAATAATATTAGTTACGACTGCATTCTACAACCCGGGAAACCAGCGAGACCCAGTTCCAGGTTCCTGATATCGGGAACACTGGCTCACTCTCATGGCTTACAGGGACACTTGATGGAGCTGAACCATCGATAACATAATTTGTTTCACCTGTGTTTCCTGCTCTGACAAGTCAAAATGTCTGCTGTGGAAAAAGGGGCAGTCCAAAACACAACTGAAAGCAGCTAAATGCACTTCTGCCATCATTTAATTATTCCCATTTGTGCTTTTCCTACAGTGACATGTCAAAATGTCTCCGGTGAAAAAAGGCCTAGTGGTAAACGGTTTTTCTATAAAGTCAAGTTGATGTATGTTTTTGGTAAATCCTGCCAATGAAAGGCAAAAATCAACTTCTGAGATTTCTGCCTCCCAAAAAAACACTGTAAACTGCTTCCTTTAAGAATGTTTTGAGCAAAACTTGAAGCCTTTTTGAGACTTTTCCTGGTGTTTTAAAGTAGATGTAAAGGGAGATAAACAGTGTTGTGAGTCACCGGGAGGGATAGCACAGTATAAACCCTATGACAAAATCTGTGATGGCTGACCCATTTAAATTGTCTAATGGTATACCGTATGACCTTATATCACCCATTCCTGCGGTCTTAAACATCCAGTATGTAGACTTTAGTGGCATCTAGCCTTGGAGAAACTATGCTGGCCGCGAAATGCACGGAAAAACACATTCTGGACTGCTGTAGAAACATGGTGGTTCAACATGACGGCCTCCATGTAAGGCGGCCCATAACGATTCTTATTTTCAGGGGATTACATACATTACACATTATGTTCTATTTCTGCCAGTAGATCCTCCTAAATGTTACACACTGGACCTTTAAATCCAGACCTAATAAAACATAACGATCAGTGTGCTAATACTTTCCCAGTCAAAGAAATGACGTTGAGAAAACTGTGTCACAGTACTAAAGCACACCCACAATGGCTCTTCTTGTATCTCATAATTGGATAATAATTACTTTACTACTTCCCTCTCTAAGAGGTGATAAAAGATTGATTACTATGTGTGGGTGATGTGTTACTTAGATTTACTGAAGGGAAATCGTGCACTGGATGCTGGGTGTTTGGGTATAAACTATTTTGACCACGGCGCGACTGTTTTTCCACCAACCTTTCCAGTATAGGATCTGTTTCATTTGCATTTACTTCCTTGTACAACAGAACCAAGAGAAGAAGGCATCCTTTGTTCCTCTGTTACTGCTGACTGAATCATCGTCCTCTGTAAATAGTCCTGACAAATAATAAAGTTTTTTCTTCCAGAGATGTCTGTCCATCTCAAAAAATAAAAACATAGCCACTGTGAATAGACCAAAGCAATGTCGCACATTATATTTTGCTCCTACAGATACGATGCCTGTATATTAATGTTTGTGTGGATGTTTGTTCTGGTTCCTCAGTATAATTTTATAATCCACAATATTTGTATGAAGACATTAAATGTATATTTTCATGCTGTACATTTCTTGAACAAACCTACTATGTTTTTAATTAAAAAAGACAAAATTTAATATCTGTGTGGTGTACATGGAGATTTGTTCATCTTCATCCAACTGCTTCCTAAATCAGAAAGTATTACAGTAGATGTTTCTCCTTTATTTGTATTACTGCACCAAATTATTCACATCCCAATCTGTGTTTTCTTGCTGAAATAAAGACTTTAAGTTTATTTATTTTTTCAGTATTCACCCAAGACACTGAATAACAGTTTTATCTGGGTTGTAATTCTTACTGATGGCTGACTGGATCATTTACTCTACAGTACTCGTTTACATTTAGACGATGTTTTAAGGTTTGCGGTTTCCTTCAGCTGTTACCCAGAGGAGAAAAGTTTCTGAACAGCTCAAGTCTGCCCCCTGCAGGTCAAACGTTTGATTTTCAAGCCAACTTAAAAACACGGAGTCAGACTTTTATGTTCAGTCCACAGGGCTTTTAAAAGGCACTCAAGTTACAGTTTGCAGTTCGTCTTCCTGCACATTTAAAAATTCAGAAGTACAGACATACAATGCTGATCTGTGACACATCTACATGTTTTGAGAGGGTTGAATGTTAATGACATAAAAAGTAAAAAGAAAATCATGTTCTTGACTGGTGTTGGCTCCTGGGTTGTGATAAAGTGAAATATTAAAAAGGCATCAGGAGCACCATTTCATTATTTCAAGCTTTGAGGACACATTTAATTTACTGTAAATGTATTTTGCTGCATCTGCAGTAACAAAGTTCCTCTCATTGTATTCATTCATTTGCTTAATCCTTCTCTCAAGTCCTGCGGTCTGCTGCCTTAGGTTATTTTTGTGTTTCAGGAAGTTGCTGGACAGTCACCAGTGTCCGTGTCATCATTCCTAACTTTAACAAACTTTAACATGAATGGCAAAATTACATACCTGACCTCAGAGCACATCAGTGTGTTTGGGCTGGAGTTCAAGTTTTCCTGTCCCTGTGTTAGTCCCAGAGGCTGCTAATTACAGTGACAATATTGATGACATTGTCTCATGTTCTCTTCAAAAGTTTTTGGGGACTTTGACCACAAATACCATCGGGTCTTTGGCCTTATTGCTGAAGGCTTTTCGGATGATGTCGACAGCATGCTGATGGGTAACTCCTTGCAGGGAGACTCCGTCCACAGACACCAACTCAAATCCAGCCTGGGCACACGAGAGAGAATGTTTAAGTCAGATACAGTGCAAATACACTAAAGTACAAACAGTCTGTGTGTCAACAGGGCGTCTGCAGGTATTGGATTTAGTTTTCTCAAAAGAAGGTATAGAAAAGTCTTTAATTTAACTTACAAAAGTCTTAAATATTTACTCCTGCTTGCCAAAAGTAATAATGTAACTTATAAAATGGTTTTGTAACCGATCACAGGCTGTTGTGAAATGTTATACATCTATAAACTGATTTCTGCAAACTTACATCAATGAAATATATCACTTCATAAATATGATATTCTCCATAGATCACTTTCAAGTTCTAGTTAAGATTCAATGTTTTTTGTGGAGTTTCAGTCAGCACCATCAGACCTGCAGCAAGAATAGTCACTACTGTAGCTACGGTAGAAATTTGGAACAAAAACTTAAATTTGAAGGAACTTAATTTATAATTTTTTTTAACTGGTTAATCCCACCTTATCTATTTTCTGTAGCGTATCTGTGTCCAGGTTGTGTTTTAAATAATTACATCCTTAGAAATTATTGTTATATACTGCTGGAAAATACTGTTAAAAAAGTGTCGATATCGGTATGATTGTGTGAAGTATTAAATGACATTCTTTGTGGTCTTAAAAGGTCTTAATTCAGTGAACCCTGCAGGAACCCAGGTCACCGACTGTCACGTCACCTTGAGCACTTCACACGTGGAGGCGGCTCCCCCAGGAAAGATCTTCTCAATCTTCACCACCGGCTGAACCTTCGACTCCATCCCACCAGATATACTGATGCCTAAAACATCAGAACAACACCAATGGCAGTCAGTCACGTCTTTTATATTTGTGTACCTTTAATACCACGTGTGTCACAGGTACTGGTTAGTGCTAGACACCAGGTATTGGAAAACTGTAGTCAACTAGTCATATTTATCCCACTACGTACTGTAAAGTAAGATTTTGTGTGTGTCCATGTTAACATTAAATTATTATTCATGTGTAAGGAGAAGATTGTTTACAGACAGTCAGTCCACAGCACTGACTAGTCGTTATAGTAGTTGGTGAAATCCTGATAGAAACTAGAGCTGGGCTGAAAATATTACCTGTTGGGAGTGAGAGATTGACCACTTACAGTTAGGCACACATTTTGGGCATAACATAAAATCACAGTTGTTTACTATATGTAGCTACCATCCCTCACTTTCTCTCACTTTCTCTCACTTTCTCCTAGTGGTATTTAGCCATGTGATCAGTTTTGGTTTGATTTGGTTTCGAGAGAACTTAGAGATTTCTGTTAACTTAATTTAAAACTACCTTCTAGAAACAGTGTCTCTGTAATCCAGACACCTCAATGTGAACAGGTTTTATAGAGACGACTTCCTCAATGCAAAGTAGTTCTTTTATATTAAAGCGTTTATGACTATTTCACATGTTGCTGGGATTTATCATCTCACTCCTGCCGTTTTATAGGTTTATCCCCCAGTGCTTCACGATCTACGTTTTTATTTTCTGTTTTTCTTTTTGTAGAGAACTTTGTAACTTTGTTAATAAAAGTGCCATATAAATAAAGTTTATTATGGTTTATATATATAGTTCCTATGAAATCCGTTCACAGCTGGTTCTGTGAACTGTTCTGAATAATAATAATAATAATAATAATAATAATAATAATTATTATTTTTAAAAGCTGTGGACAAATAAAGGTGATTGTTTTGGGAGAGAGGCAGAAATCTCAGAGTCAAAACCTGGACAAATAAAACTGAAACTATTTGCATGTTAAATATATTTGGCTACCCAGACATTAAAATGTACCTAGTGACTGTTTGGTCTTGGAGATGCTGACAGTTTTCAGCTTGTACTCCTGTTCAGGGTCGGAGCCATTGAGTCCATTCTCTGATGAGGCCTGATGTCCGTTCATCTGTCCGCTCCCTGCTTGTTGATCTGGTCTTGAACTGAACACCTGCGACAACAAGGGCCGACTCCTGCGAGCGGCACTCTGCAGCGTGAACACGCTTTCTTTACTCCTGTCTCCACTTTTCTCCCTTTTGCTTTTGGAGTGGCCGTTTCTGAACGGGGACCTTCCTCTTTCTGAAGTCGAGTGCAGTGAAACCTCGTCAAAGTGGACGGAGCGAATCGTGCCGATGTCTGTTCGGAGAGGAGGGCGGGAGTCATCGCTGCGGGCCAGCAGCCAGTTGGGGAGCATGGCGCTGGCGGAGGGGGGTCTGAGGTCTCTGGACTCTGTGTCATATCCATCCACAGGTATGTCCAGCAGCGGGGTGAAGGACCTGGAGGTGTGGGGCCTCTCCCTGGACCCCCGGGGTGCAGACAGACTGAGCTTCTCCAGCTCTTCCAGTAGGTGGCTCTCCTTCTCCACCTCCTCAGCATTGTGGAGCTCAAAGCCTCCTCTGTAATCTGGAGGGAAACACAGGTTGGATAGGTTTGACAGTTCTGGGCTACCGTAGAAACATTGCAGTTGAATGTGGCAGACTCCTAAAAGCAGCTCATTCTAAGGTAATGAAAACTGATTATAGACTTAATGAAAACATACCAATAAATATATTAAATTTCTGGCAATAGATCCTCCTAAATGTTACACACTGGACCTTTAATCATTATTATTACAGAATAATAAAAAATTAATTCAAGTTCAAACAAGCAAAATGAATTAGTGTTGTAGTTGAGGAACTGACCTGGGATCGGAGTGATGAGGCGCCGTTTGGGCGCTCGACCAGACATGGGAGAGCGGAGAGGAGGAGTTCGGACTACGGTTGAAAAGAAGAGAGAATAGATTGTAACTACGAGTGTTCAGATCTGACTTATGTTGCGTGTTTGTTAAAGTTGCTGCTGTTTTTGCATGTAATCAGACTGATTGTGAGATTCAGCATGTATCACACGCACTTGAGCGATACTTGAGGATATCGTAGGCCTCCACTTCGATGGGGGTCACCATGTTGTTGAATGCACTCAGGTCAGACGGAGGAAGCAGCATCCTGAGAAACAACAAAAGGCTGACTCATTTTCATTGTTGTGTTAGATTACAAAACATTTTTAATTAGTCACCAGTGTCTTACTGTGGAACATTTGGATTTGAGAAGATTATCCTGTAAAATACTTAATCCCCTTCTGGCAGTATTTGTAATACCACTGTTTCTGTTTGGATTTACAGCAGGCAGTTGAAGGAGAGGGTAGACACAGTTTACAGGCAAAAAAACATCCTAGTGGTATAAATGTATATTTCTGTGTATATTTTACCAGTGATATCAGCTTGATGAAGCCATATGAAGAAATGGCTTTAAAATTTACTGCAATGATATTGTCTACTTACTATCTAAAATACAATACAGTAAAGGTCTTTAGTTTTAGTCTTTAAGTTGGTCAGAGTGGGAAATCTACATGACTGTGAGTCAATGTTTTTGTATTGTAATACCAATTCTGACAAATATCCTTATATTATAATAAAAAAAACTAAAAACTAAACATTTTGAAACAATAAAAATTAAACTGAAAAGAGAAAACCCACTCTAGAAAATTTAAAAATGTATAATAAATCTGATTCAGTAGCTCTATCACAGTAGGCTTTGGAGTAAATATCTAGTAATTATTAGTAATTATTCATTTTCCTCGCTCTCCTTACCTGACTTCCCTCAGCAGCAGCAGCTTTTCAGGTCTGTCCAGCACGACCAGCAGGTGGCGTATCAAGTTCTCCACTGACCGCTCTGCCACGTACTGTTAGGGGTCACAATAAAAATCAGAGATTCAGAATCCAGTTGATAATACTTTAATCTTAGAACAGATATGTGAAATATGTTGTAGGAATTCTGTGACAAACACTGCAAACTCAAACACCTTTATGGGCAGTCCAAAGATTAA